TGGAAGACATGCCAGCCCTATTTTCAGCAAAACTAACTGAGAAGGTGTGACATAAACCCTTTCTGCCTCTCACACACAGAAGCCCCCACTTGGGAATTCAGCTAAACATAAAGACAGGGACTGTAACTAGCAACCACATGGAACCAAGTAAACATTACTCATCACAGCTCTCACTAAGGTAGAGACAATGAACAAAAAGCAAAATAAGGGCTTCCATTTGCTTACCAACAAACTCCTTTCAGAGCAGAGGAACATTGGGCCCAGGCCACATTTTATGACTGATATATTTGGGCCTCCAATTGAACTGATACAATTCAACTAGCCAAAACCAGACATATTCAGTCACAGCAGACAAGTGGATCACCTTGAAACAATGTTGATTGTGGGTTTGTTCAGACTTGAGCTCTGAGGATATCTGGTTTGCATTTAAGACCTGTAACTTTCAAGGAAGGGACAAGAGAGCTGGCAACTGTATTGTGTCAAGATACCAACACCCCACAGATAAGAGCATAACCACCAACTGCCTACAAGCACCAAAGCATGAGAAAAGCTAAAGATGTGGGCCTTTTTGATTAGACCACTTGTAGTGGCAAGTTTTTCAAAGCATTGCTGATTGGGTAAGTTGTGCAAATTTTTTAAAAACAGAACGTGAGTAATAAAATTACTTCCTCTAACTAGCTTTGAAGTGGAGAAAAAAAAGCTGCAAGAAGGAGAACTCAATTGGCTTTTAGCTGCCTGGCAAACACTCTAATAAGAAAGCCTGATGACCTACATTCAGAAGGCTCTGTACTAAACCACTATTACAAAATCCAATATAAAGCCCGACCATGTTTAAGTGTTTTCCATTAGCAAGCAGCAGTATCTTGTTAGAGAAATATGAAAACATGTTATTGTCTTTAGCAATGATGATCTTAATTAATCCTCTAAACACTGTTCTGAAACATGTCATCCTGATCCTTCCAAGCTGTTTAAGTTCCAGTGTTACATAAAGACACCAAAGTCTTTGCTTTTTGATTGTGCAATGGGATGTTAACAGAAACAGGGACTTCTTACATATTCTCAAACTGTGCTGAAAAAGTGCATTCATAACAATTAACATCTCAGATGCTCTTTTAACAACTGACAGAAATGCACTAGTGTTCAGAAACTCACCTAAACCCAAGCTAGCACCAGTACAGTTTATTGTTTATTAACTCAGTTAAAAAAAACACTGAAGTATTTCTTCACATAAAGGCAAATGCTCTCAGCAAGCCTCCAATAACCCACAACAGATGTCCCGAGTTGTCCCAGAGAAGATATTATTAAACCAAACCCTACTGTGGTAAATATTCCCAAAAACAAGTGTCTGAATACCAGATATAATTAATTCACTAAGTGTTTAAAGAAAATACTAAGTCTTTTACTCTTCCATATGGTTGGAAAGACTAATACATTCAGCTCTGATTTACATTAGCAGCTTCCAAACAATTCAAGGAGAAAAGCCCTACTTGAAAAAAAGAAGTCTTTCAACAATGCATTATAAAAGCAGGCAACTAGTCAAAACAAGCAGCTCATGGTCAAAGCAGAAAGGGAAAGTGAATCACTGGGACAAAAAAAAAATAATTCCAAGTGGAGATTCTCAAAGGCACAAGATTGCCATTAAACGCCCACAGGCGTTTAATTGCCCATGGTACCTTTAGGAACTCAAGTCTCCACAGCTAGGACTGATGTCATGGTATGTTGGATGTACCTGATGCCATTACTGATGGCAGTAGCACAAAACAGTCTTGTAACCGAGGCGGAAAAATCAGGTGGAAAAGGAAATTTTAATTAGTTTGTCTCCTAATTTACTAAAAACGATCTCACCCTAAATGCAGGAAAAACAGGTCCACACAAAATCACTGCCTTTCAGCTTGCCTGAAAAGATACTACAGTTGAGGAGGCTTAAAAAAAGGTTTTATTTATCTGAAGAGCACAGCAAGAACATGGATACAAAGCTAGTGTCAAATTAACATGGAAGTACAAAGAGGTGCCTGATTCGCTGGGACTGAATTGTGAAGGGACTACACATTCATCTCAGAGTACATAAAACCTCCCATCACTCTGCAGCACTCATCTGATAGCTCCAAGTACAGATGTAAGCTCAGCAAGATGCAGGCATCCTTTCTAAACCAGTAAGACAGTTGATACAACACACAGGTTTAAAGAAGCAAAAAGAAAAACAAGCACCACTAGGAAAATAAATTCTAAGTTCAAACAGTCTTCTCTTTCTGAGGAATTCCATGCATCTCCCCCAAAAAAAGACAAGAGACACTTCTTCACCATGGATTCAAATTATAAATTTGGTTCTGTACATCCTCTGTATTTGCAAGAACCAGATTTTCACTTTTTGCACCATTTGTTTCAGGATCAACCCTATTTAATCTACTAAACCAGGTGTTAATTTGAGACAGTAGGGTCGAGATAGTAAATGAAGCAAGCTAAAAAGCAAGGGACATTGTTAACAAGAGGATGTTAGGGCACCCTGGAGGAGGAGGAAGAGGCATCACCATGGACAGCTCAACCACCCACTACCCCCCCTCCGGCCTCCACAACCAGGAAATCCAGAAGGAATTCAGAAATTCCTCATCCAGCATCCAGTCCCAACGGCAATAAAACACCTGGCTGGATGACTTCACATTAGGGTTCAGAAACACATACGGTTTGAGCAAAACTTGAGGAATTCATGCGTAGTTACCACAGAGGAACCCTAATACCAGGTGTTTGAAAGCCACTGGTGTCTAACCCGATGATGAGGGTCAGGGTTTGCACACCAGAAGGATGCTGCTACCAGTGCAGCTGCAGCACCACAAATCTCTGAAGCACGTACACTGCAGCACCAATGAAAGAACTGTTTGCCTTAAAGCAGTTTTGTTTGCCTCAGTGAAAAACCTGCCTTCATCCATTTAACACCAAACTGGAGCAAAAAATCTTCCGACACAGTATGGAAAATGTTCTTTGCTATTTCTAGGAGGGTCAAACCTACCCACCTGTGAACATTTGCTGAACCTTTTCATTCATCTGTGGCATTTAGTCCAGCTACAGAGGAAGTTCCTTTCCATAGTATCTTCTCCCACATAAAAGCCTCTAGCTGTAATAATACCAGCTTAGCAACTCCATGGATATTTTTTTTTGGCTACTTAAGAGCATATCATAAGCCCAATACACTGCACTGCCAAAAAAACAAGCTAAAACACAACAAGGCACACACAGAGCAATTTCAACATCTAAGTTGGTTATTTCAGTAAGACTCCCTACACTGACCCAATTGTGTTTCAGCTGAACTGGGAACCTTTTTAAACACAGTTCATTAATACTGTGACGTTTAGAAGTTTTATTAGTCTGGGTCACAAAAGTTACTTGGAAAAGAAAGAATAAGAGGACTTCAAAGTACACCACTGCTCTTACTCTCCTGTTTACAAAGGAGTATCACCCAGGAGCAGTTGCACAGGTGAGATGGGAGGATGGTTTCCAAACCTGCAAAGCCACTCCAGGCAGAATCACACTTTGGCTACTGATGCTCTTTGGCAAGAGCAGCCCGAGATACGTGAGGGCTCCACCAAGCTCCAAGCAAGTTCAGCACCCAAAAAGAAACTCTAACCAAGTGATGTAGCTAGAAAAGCAGTTTTCAACCAGCAAACACCGACCATTTCTTTAAAGTTAACCATCTTAACACCTTAAAGTGCCATGCCTAGCAGCTACCACACAAACTCCATCACTAAGAAAAGCTGTAACAGAACTAGGAAAATGACACTATGAACTAAGATGCAACAGGGCTTTTTTTTCCTTCCTTTTTGGCATGATCAGGTAGCACTTTGTTTTGTTGGCATCCAAGGCCCACAGCGTAAAGCAGGTAAGGAAGAAGCACCTGAAAACTTAAGTTAAGCTGCCGCATTCCCACTGCTAATTAACTGCAGGGTTACATATTTTTCTACCCAAGCTTTCAAAGTTTAGCATGAATTTTTTCACCCCAGCTCCCAGCCCTCTCAAGCCCCAGCCGGGCAGCACGGGGCACCGGCGCTTCCCCCGCGCCTCGGCCAGGTCTCAGGTCTTGTACAAAACGCACCGGAGCGGCAGAGCCTGGACCGACCCCCGGCCCGGCACCGGCACCGAGCCCGGACCGGCCCCGGGGCTGGACTCGCCCGGTCCCCGGCGGGAGGGCAGAGCAGCGGCCCCGCAGCCCCGCACCGACCTCCCGGGGGACGCCGCTCACCGGAGGCAAACGCGGTGCCCGGGGAGCCCCCGCACGGCTCGGAGCCGGGACC